GGAGGAAGGGGCTGTCACTGATCAGAGCCACTTGAACAAAGGCACGGACTGGGCAGCAGCCTCGCTGGCGGTTGTCAGGCAGCAGTGAGGACCGTCTGCCAAGGACATTAGTCAGCCTTTCTGCACAGGGAGGAGTGTCAGGTTGTGAGACCACATGGCTGCCATCCAGCTGGGAAAGGCCACTCCTGGCCCACAGACCGAGTCAAATCTACCTGCAGTTCCAGGAATTGCCACTAGGGGAGAACACGGCTCCCGAGGACAAGGAGGCAAGTCAAGGCCACGAACTAAAACGCCTCCAGAGATTTTTCACTTTTGCTGCCTTCTCCTCATTCTTGAAGTCCTGAGCTCCCTGGGAGGAGAAAGGAATGGGGAGCGTTCCCACAGGTGTGGACTCGATGCCATCGCCTTGGCCTTCCTGCGGAAGTGCCGGGCATCCTGAGCCATGGAGGCCCTCCTGGTCTTGCTACGATGCCACAGCCCCTCCGGGGACCCATTGTGTCAGGAGCAGGAGGGGGCCTGGCCAGAGCACAGACCCGAACATTCACACACCTGACTCCAAGGTCTGCCTCAGGAGATCCCAAGAAGGGCCTTTGGGGCCCCCAGCTCCGTTCCTATGCCCTTTCCCCATCACCTTCCACCAGAGGCAAAGGCCACACTCTCCCAGTGCCCCAGTTTTGGCTTAATGTGAGAAAAGCATCTGATGAACTCCCTGAGGCAGAGGGAGCCCTTTGTCCCCACCAAGGCAGGCACTGCTAAGCCCGGGCGTTCTCTCTCCAGAGCCGTCATCATCCAGAGAATCCTTCTGGTCATAATATTCTAGGACACCCACTACTGATCCATCAGAACTGGCGGCAGTGTACAACTTATGTGGCATGGTTGTCTTAAGGGGCCAGAAGCCTTTAGAAGGAGCGCCACTGAAGAAATGCTGAAGGGGCAGTAATGAACCAGCAATGCACAACTGAAGTTAGGGAAGAATTCCAGGTATTTAAAAAACAAAGACCGTCCTTTTGGGCAGGGGCAGAGAGATGACAGCGTAGGCACATCTACCTGCAAGTCCGTTCTATCTGGGTCCTTTAGCAAATCAAGGCCGTTCAACTCCACAGACACCAATGCCAGGCCTGCACAGGCTCCTGTGCTAGGGGCTCCCTGCCCTCAAGGAGTCCCGTGAAGGGCATGAGCACATAAGCCAACAGCAGCAGAATTAGGCAGAATATGAGTGGTGCCTTTCAAAGAAACACAATGGCCAAGGCATTGAAAGTGGGGAGGAAAGTCATCACTCTGGTTGGAGGATCCTCAGGAAAATGTCCTGAAGGAAGCAGGACCTTGAAGGAGGCAGAAGTGGAGATGGGGGGACAAGGGGTCAGGAACGTTAGTTATGCCAGCTGGGGGGAATGCTTGAGCAAAGGCGTGGAGCCAGGGAAGCCCAGGCAGAGTCAGAGGATGGGGACACATCCAGGGACGGAGCAGGGGAGCAGAAAGTGAAAGCAGGAAGTATGACTGGGGCCATGCCTTGGAGGTCCTTGCATGCCAGCAAGAGGTTTGTCCTCCGAAGCCACCACCCAGAAATCGGCAACTGCGGTGGGATGTCCCCAGGACGGGGAGGCTCTCAGGAGGCTTTGGGAAGCCTGCCCTTTCCCTCTTTCTTTCTAAACACTTCTCTGTGTCTTTGCTCATGCCGTTCCCTCCTCCAGAAATGCCCTTCCCTCCTACTCTGGTCAACAAACTCCTACTCAACCTTAGAGTCCCGGTACAAAGTTCACCTCCTCTGTGAAGCCTTCCCTGGCTCCCTTATGTAGCTATTAGTCCCCCCAAAGTACTCCCCCAGCTCTTGGCTCATTCCTTATATGTAACTTATAGATCAATGTTCTGTCCCCCATTAGTCTATCTGTCTCCCCATTAGTTTGTAAGTTCCTGGAAGTCAGGGGCTATCTCTATACTAGGAATTATACTATTCTTATACTAGTCTTCATACTAGGAATGCATATTCTATATACTCCTAGCGCCTTGCACAGAGAACACTGCCAGTAAGTGGGGCAGGGACGGAGGGCATCAGTTCTGGTCTGAGGCGCTGTCAGCTGTGCCCCGTGGCCTGGCCTCCTGGTTTTATCTGCTTCACATGACCTGGTACCTCCCAGCTCGAGCCCTCATCTTCTCCCACCCCCAGCTCTGGAGGGAGGAAGACACACCTCCCATCAGCTCCCTCACTGCCAGTGCCTGCTAGCACCTCATTAACCCAGCTGGCCCCGCCCTGCCCTGAGAGGTGTGGGCTGGACAGAGTTCAGGGATCAAGGGAGTCTCCCTGACCTTTCTGCCCATGAGGAAGGGGAGAAGGAACTAAGGGCCCACTACACCAGCCCCAGAAGTCACCCTCATGCTGTACTGGACAGAGGCTTTTGATCCTTGGAGCTCTGCTCTTGGACAGACAGACACTTCACTAGCCGTGGGGTCCAGCTGGGGACTTGATGGGGACCATCTGCACTGGGGCAGAAACGGAGGCACCGCGGAAGGATAGGACTCAGGCTAGGGGGAACTCCCTGGCGGTCCTGTGGTTAGGACTCCGCGCTTTCACTGCCGAGGGCGCGGGTTCAATTCCTGGTCAGGGAACTAAGATCCCACAAGCTGTGTGGCACGGCCAAAAAAAGTGTGTGTGGGGGGGGCGGAATGTGAGGGAAGGCGGGGTGGGGAGAAAGACACGTACCCAGGTGCCCCCCAGTAGAGGCCAACCCGCCAACCTGCCAGCTCTTCCAGCTTCATTCAGCTCCCTGAGCTGTGTTCCCCTCTGAGCCTGTCGCAGGCAGGGGTCTCCTCTCCACAGCGCAGAAGGGACCAGGCAGGCTGTGAGACGAACCATCTGACGAGGCCGGAGTGGAACAGATAGAACACAGGAGTCCGGCCTCCCACCCGCCACGTTCCTGCGGCCACTCCTCCAGCTTCTTTCCCTGATAACGTCTCCTCCCAGAGAGGCTGGAGACCCGGCCCTGGGGCAGTGGCGGGTGGAGGTTGGATCTCAGCCTCGAGACAAGTGAAAGGGTTAACGCTCCTGTGTCCACTGGCCTAGTGTAGCCAGCTCTCTCAGCGCCTGTAAGTCCGGGCTTGCCTCTGGTGTTCTCTCAGTTTCCATTCCTCTCTTACTCCTTCCACTTGGGAGGACACCCTTGGCACCAGCAGTGTGTGGGGTGTCATTTAATACTGCCAGTAATCAGCACCTCCTTTACTGGCTCTCTTTCCCTCATGGCTACTCTTGTCATCCCTGAATCCCTCTCTCTCTCTCTCTCTCTCAGACACACACATGCACACACACACACACACACACACACACACACACACACACACACACGAGGAATGGGAAAAAGGGCTTCTGTCCACCGCAATTCCTGCCCCACACAACTTCTCTCCCTAAAACGGATCCAGATCAACTGGGAGGCAGGAAGCAGGAGGTAGGATGCGGAGAGCTGGAGGTGCCAACAGCCCTTCTGAACTAACAGAGCAATCGCATAACAGCAAGCTCAGAACAAGAGAATAGTGGAGGGCAGACGAAATTAGAAAGTATCAAAGGATAAAGATTCCTCTTCCAGATCAAGCAGAGTCATCAGAGTCGAGGATTGGAACACTTCAGATCATTTGTGGGTTTAATATGCCAGCAAAGAGAGGAGAGAGATTGGACACCCTTTCCCCAGTGATACAATGAGAGGATGTCTGTACACTTCACCGCATGGCCATTTTTTAAAATAAATTTATTTATTTATTTTAAATTCATTTTTGGCTGTGTTGGGTCTTCATTGCTGCGCGTGGGCTTTCTCTAGTTGCGGCGAGTGGGGGCTACTCTTTGTTGTGGTGTGCGGGCTTCTCACTGCGGTGGCTTCTCTTGTTGCGGAGCACAGGCTCTAGGTGCGCGGGCCTCAGTAGTTGTGGCTCGTGGGCTCTAGAGCGCAGGCTTGGTAGTTGTGGCGCACGGGCTTACTTGTTCTGCGGCATGTGGGATCTTCCCGGACCAGGGCTCGAACCCGTGTCCCCTGCATTGGCAGGTGGATGCTTAACCACTGCGCCACCAGGGATGTCCCCGCATAGCCATTTTACAGAAGGAAGAACCAGGACAGGGTGGCGGGCTGGAGGCATTCAGGCCTGCTCCCCCCACACTGGGTCTTCAGCTTCATGATTGTGAGAAGACAATGACCACACATCCATGGACACTTCTGATTCCATGTCGGCGTTTCTGTCAGATGATGTGTCCTGATCTGGGAATGTGAAAATGTGCCCTTTATTTTGCTGCCGGCTGTAGGTGCTGGGACGCCCTCCTGAAGCCTTCAATGTGGCTGTTTGCCAGTGAAGAGCGTGGGCGCCCCCATCTGATACCCCTGTCCTCCCAAGCCCCAGACTTGGTTAATGGGAGAAGTGTTGGGTCAGCCTCAGCCTGGCACCAGACGCCATCCTTAGAGCAAAGGTGAAGTCCAATCTTCTACCAGATGGCTGGAGCCGGCAAGCAGAGATAAGGGTCACACTTTGGACTCCACAGCCAGAGGTGGGGGCAGAGCCCCCGGGGTCCGTGAACCCCGACACCCCTTCTGCTGCGGGTCCTGCTCCCCTGCCTGGTTAAAGGAGGAAGACGGGGCCGAGACCAGGGCAGTGGGGGGCTAGTCAGTCACTCACAGCACGCGCAAAGCGAGGTGGGCACCTGCTGCGGGTCACTCAGTCATCACCGCCGCCCGGCCGGGGGGAGGGGGGCGCGGGGGGTTTGCAGCGCGCGAGGGCGGCGGGCAAGCCAGGGTGGGTGGCGACTTCAGGGGCGAGGGGAAGCGGGGAGGGGTCCCTGCGGAGCGAGCCCTCCTCGGCGGGGGAAGGTGGTGGCCGCAGCCCGGGCAGAGCCGCTCGGTCCCCAGGGCCCCATGGGCGCCCACTGCGCCACGGGTCCGGTGCCCGCGGGAGAGGGAGGAGCCAGCCCGAGGCCCCGCCCCTCCGGCCCGCCCCTCCCGGCCCGGCCCCGCGCTGCGCTGTACTGGTCCCGCGGGCCGCTCGGTCCCAGACCTGGCCGGGCCGCGAGGTGGGCATCGCCGGGGGAGCAATCGGCGACCGGGGGGCTGGCAGCGCGGGCAGCGGGCGCCGGGACACCTGCGGACACAGGTGAGTGGCGGGAGGGCGGGGGCGGGGCGCCGGGGCTGTGGGCGCGGGGCCGAGAGAAGGGGAAGCCGGGTCAAAGCTCGGAAAGGACCCCGGGGAGGAAGAGGGACTCAGAGCACTAGGAGGGAGGATTATTGGGAGGGGGCCCGGGAGACAAGGAACGTTGTCCCCTGCTTATAAATCAGAGGAAAAGTAAGGGGCGGGCTGCGCGGGATTCTGGGGCCGCCTGGAGGGAGACCAGCACCTGCTTAGGAGGTCTCTCCTCTCCAGGCCCTGCCGCCCCAGTGAGCGGGTCCTCTATCAGGTTTAGGGGGAGGGGATGGCGCCCCGCGCGCGAGGCTCCCAGCCCCACGGAGGAGTTCCCACTGGCTGGGGAAGACCTAACAGAGCCTGCTTCCCCTCGGCTCGTCTGTAAGGCCAGCGGCCGGATAGCTGTCTGTGGCCTGGAGGGTCCAGGTAAGGGGTGGGGCAAGCTTTTCAGTAAAAGACCAGATAGTAAATATTTCAGACTCTGAAGCCGCTGTGGTCTCTGTCACAGCTAGCAGGAACGTAGTCACAGACAACTGGCCAAGGAGGCGATGTGGCTGTGTTCCCATAACACTTTATTTATGGACATGGGAATTTGAATTTCATATAATCTTCGTATGTTGTGAAATATTATTCTTCTTTTGACTTTTTCCAACTATTTAAACATGTAAAAAACATGCTTAGCTTGTGGGCTGTGCAAAAACAGGTGGCAGGCGGGGCTGCGTCCAACGGGGCCCCTCCAGCTCGCCACCCCAGACACTCATCCCCCACTCCCGTGTTTGGAGGAGGGGAGGGTGTAGCTAGGTGCAAGGGGCATCCTGGATGCCTGGGGGCCTCCAGGAACCGAGGGACCCTTGCTCCCAGCTACTCTTAGGACTTCAGCATCCTTTGAGGCCAGGGTGGGAGCTGGTACCCCAAATGCGCAAATGTGAGGGAAGGGGCATGGTTCCAAGGGGCTTCCTACCCAGCATGTCGGGGTGTGCCCGACCCCCACCAAGTCGTAGATGAGGCAGCTGTGCTCTCCCAGCAAGTAGTCTTGGCCTTCCCTCTCCCCTTCCCTCTCTTCCCCTCCCCCTCCCCTCTCTGTCTCCAGCCTGGCGTTACCCACTGATCAAGGCTGGCCCTTCCATTCCTTATTTTCTCTCTGCAGCCTCAGCGGGTCCCTTTCTCCTGAACATTGGAGTTATGACCCTTGGGAGGTGACCCAGGAGAGAAGGGATGCACGCCTTTGGTCCTCCCAATGGGGGTCGCCTCCAAGGACTGGTGGCCTCCCGCATTGAGACCTATGGGGGCCGGCTTCAGGCCTCCACCCTGAGTACTCCTGGTAGCCTCTATCCCCGAGGAGGCCCCGTGCTGGTGAGTCCAGGCTGTGTCCCAAAGGTGACCGGGGTGGGGCAGGGGGGAGGACACCCAGGCTTTCAAGTCTCTGTCCCCTTGCCAGGCCTTGGACTGCTCTGTTCTTAGCCCGCACCCCTGCCTTCTTTCGTGGGTTGTGAGGGAGAGGATGGCCATGCTGGGCCAGGCTCCCGGGACTCCACACCCATCCCAGACAGATGGGGCAGGTGAGGCAGAGAGCCAGGAGGGGCCAGGCCCTCAGTGCTGTTAGACTGGTCACAGGCACGGAGCTGGTGGGGAAGGTCACCAAACCCAGGGTTTGGCACCTCCCAGACTCCCACCTCTACTTGCGAGGAGCTGGTGGGCTCCTTGAAACCTGCCTCCCTCTGAGTCAGGCCTGGAAGAACAAAGGTTCAAGGTGTTCCTACTCTACAGGTGGGGAGGGGTGTGAGGGCCTGCCCACCTCCACCCCAGCTCCACCCTCCTGGCGGCCTCCAGTGCTACCAAAGAAATGGGCGTGGAGGCGCAGCAGTCTTTCCCTCAGCCTCCAGGCTCTCCCTCCACCTTGAGGTCAGTTCTGCTTCGGCCGAGGGTATCCCCTGCCTGACTGGAGGAGGGTTTGGCCCTGGGAGGCAGCTGAGGGTGGGAAGGGAGACTAGGATGTCTGTGGGGTAAATCAGGCCACGGGCAGATCAAGGAATGTGACCAGGCCTGCCCAGGAGGAGACTTCTGGGCCAGGCCTCAGCTTCGCACACGGAAGGGCAGCCACTCCCAGCTGGAAGGGACATGCCCCGGGGAGGAGGCCGCACGTGTGAGGGCCCCCATCCCCACGTGCGCAGGAGGCTGTGAGGGCCCCAGAATGCGTGTGCACCGGGCACCGTGCAGGCACGGCCGTGGTGCAGGGAGCACACACGGGAGTGGGGCTGGAGGGGGACACCGGGACACACGCAGAACCTGGGCATGTGCGTGCCAGAGTTGCTCTGCACGAGGCCCCTGGGCACCTGGGCCCGGCGGCCCCTGCCTGGCTCAGTGGCCTCCCTGGAAGTGGCTACTGTGACTCAGGGCCAGAGCGGCTCTCACCAAACTGGTTTGAGGGGAGAGGTGAGCCGGCCCAACTTGCTGGTGTAGGGGATGCTGTCCAGAGCCAAGCCAGGCCCCACTGCTTGTCTGGGACTTCTGTGGGGAGAGGACACCCCCAGAACTCCCCCATTCCTCCTCCAGGATCCCAGTGGCCGACACCTCCAAGGCTATGTCCCCTTTACCAAGGGTTCTGGCCCGGCCCGAGGCCTGTCTCCCCTGAGGCTGCGAGAACCAGAGCCTGAGAAGAGGCATGGAGGCCCCTTTGGGGCTGGGACACCTCACTTCCCCAAACTCAAGGTAAGGGGTCCCTCTCCTCCCATCCCCAAGCTCACAGCCTGAGCTGCGACGTCCTCCAGAGACCATCAGAGCTGAGAACATGGGAGCCCCTCCAAGAAGCAGGGTGTGGCTCTGTCTAGAGACCCTCTCAGGGGAGCATCTCTAAGCCAGGCTGCCTCGTAATGATGTCCGTTTGATGGGCAAGTGTCAAAATGTTCCTGAGACCACTGGTTCCCTAAGTGCCGTTCTGGTCTCCACCTGAAGGTCCCTCTGAAGGGTTCTGTCTCAGGAGAGCCCTGGAAGCTATCTTTCTGGTCAGGGAGCCCAGGTCAGACCCCTCTGTCCAGGGACCTTTCTGCAGACAAGGTGCCTCTCCATGCGTGTTCCGGCCACACCCTGTACCCCGTAATCCCAGCCAGGATTGATCCTCGTCCCTCGGGCCTGCAGGTCCTCACTCAAGCTCAGGGCAACTTGCCACCACACACACACACACACACACACACACACACGCACGCACGCACACACGCACGCACACACGCAGCCCTTCCCGGGCCAGGAAGTGGCCAGGACTAATCCCCTCTCGGCGCCCCCAGGAAGTCACCAGAGCCCATCAGCTGGAAATGAGGCTGCACACGTTCAGCATGTTTGGGATGCCCCGCCTGCCCCCAGAGGACCGGCGGCACTGGGAGATCGGAGAGGACGGTGACAGCAGCCTGGCCATTGAGAAGTCCTGGAAGGAGCTGGTGCCTGGACACAAGGTGGGCCCGGGACACAGTGTCTGACCCCGCGGGGTCCTAGACACACACACACACACACACACACACACCCCTCACCTCTGCCCCGGAGGAGGGAAAGGCCTTGGGAAGTGGGGTCTGCAGGGACAGCACTTGGAGGCATCTTGCTGTAACTTCAGATCCCGGCCCCGCCACATACTAGCGAGACCTCGGTCAAGACAGCAAACCTCTCTGCGTCTCGGTCGCCTCCTCTGTGACCTGGGGATAACGCCCCCTACACACTGGAGGATTGGTGGAGGGTTAAAGGCTTTCTGTGCAGTAGATCTGGTAGCATTCAGCAGATGGCATCTGCTGGTCTTGTCATCATTCCCCAGCTGAACCAGCCCTATCCCCACCCAGGAGATGAGCCGGGAGCTCTGCCACCAGCAGGAAGCGCTGTGGGAGCTACTGACCACCGAGCTCATCTATGTGCGGAAGCTCAAGATCATGACGGATGTGAGCCGCCCTACCCCCGCCACATCCCCGGCAGCCCCGCCCCCGGGCCCCATCCTTGGCCCTTTACCGTGTCCCTCGAATCACTCCCCCCACCCGGTTCTCCAGACCGGAAGGGGCACGGCTGTTAGGGAGAAGGGGCAGGACATCAAGATCCCCCTGACCTGAGACCCGCCCGGGGTCTTGGGAGAGAGGCTTGTGGTATGAAGGTGGGGGTGGGGATGCTGTGAAGGGCTGGCTAGGCTGGGGTCTGAGAGGAGGAGGTCAGACGCTGAAAGCCCTCCCTGCATCCAGCTCCTAGCCGCCGGTCTGCTGAACTTGCAACGAGTGGGGCTGCTGACGGAAGTGAGTGGGCACTCGGGGTGTGGGACCCAGGGAGTGGGGGCGGGGTCACAGAGCGGAATTGCAACCCCCATTTACCCTGCCCTCCCCACTCCCCTCCTTGCCCTAGACCCCAAGCAGGCTGCAGGTCCCACCCAGCCCCTGCCACTCGGGCTTAGCCGTCCCTGCCTGCCCACCGCCCGTGCTGCCCGCAGGTCACCTGCCGAGGCATGTTCCGCTCCCTCCTCCAGGTGTCAGCTGAGACCCTGTTTGGAAATGTCCCTAGCCTGATCCGAGCCCACCAGAGCTTTTGGGAAGAAGTGCTGGGGCCCACCCTGGAGGAGACGCGAGCCTCGGGCCAGCCTCTGGACCCGGTCAGCCTGCAAAACGGCTTCCTGTCGGTGAGGCGGGGAGAAGGGCCCCATCTGGATGGGGCAGGACTGGGAGAGCCCCAAGGGGTCCTGTCCGCTGGAATGCTCATACCACTGGCACCCTGCCGTGACTCGAGGGGGTCCAAGGGCACGACCCCTACCCCTAAATACCACCTCACCTCTTCCCTCCATTCCACCAGTATGACCTCTGTCCCGAAGGCTCTTTGGGCTTCTGGAGCCCCCAGAGGGAGGGCAGCTATCTCAGGGAAGGGCTACACCTAAGCTCTCATCGACCACGAAATCTTATGTCCGGGACAGAGACCCATGGACAAGCAGCAGGGGCCAAGCAGCAGGGGCCTAAGCGACTTGTCCCTCAGGGGCCTGGGGAGAGGGGAGTGAAAGGCCACAGGGTACCCAGGGCGTGAAGGGTGATAAGAGAAAGCAAGAGGCCCAGGATCTCACTTCCTCCCAGTTCACTGGCCAGGGAAACGTGGCCTTGCAGAGTTGGATTGGGGTAGAGAGGCAGGGGGACAGTCTCCTGGGGGCCGTTGGTGGCCCTCTTCCCCAGGAGCAGGGCTCTGGGCAAGCCTCAGGTCACCACCCCGTGGCTGGGCTGAAATGGGATCCGCAGTGCCCTGAAAACGGTCCAGCTAAATTATTGATGGCGGGTGAGGTCCAGAGCAGTGGGGCGTGGCAGGGGCTGGGGATGGAGCTCAGAGGGCGGCAGCGGGTCGGCCCCTCGGGACCTCAACTCCTTGGAATCCAGAGAGGGGGGCTGGAAGTGGTGGGGGGTTGGGATTGGCGGGAGCTGGTCTAAGGATCTAGGCCAGGCTCCTTCCCCTGCCCGCTCCCTGCCCCACACCTGTCCCTCCAGTTCAGCCAGCGCTTCCAGCCCTACGTCCTGTACTGCCTGCGAGTGAAGCAGACCATGGCCTACGCCTGGAAGCAGCAGGACAACAACCCTCTCTTCCGCACCTTCCTGCAGGTGGGAGAGGGGCTGCTGGGGAAGGGGGATGCGGCGGACCTTGCTCCAAGGCTGAGGGTATCCCCGGGGCGGGGCAGGAGGGTGGCTTGCAGCCCCCTGACCCCTGCCCACCTTCCCCGGCAGTGGTGTGAGAAGCACAAACGCTCGGGGAGGCAGACGCTGGGGGACCTCCTCATCAAGCCCCACCAGCGCATCACCAAGTACCCACTGCTGCTCCAGGCTGTGCTCAAGAGGAGCCCCGAGGCCCGCGCCCGGGAGGCCCTGACCACCATGGTAGGGGCCACTGGGGCTGTACCCTCGGGAGTTGGGGGCTGGTGAGTGCGGACGCATCTCCAGGGACTCTTGAGGTCTCTTTCCTTACGTGTGTGTGCCGGCGTGGCACTGATGTCGTTGTCTGGGTGGGATGTACAGACGAGGAGCTGAGCTGTCCTCCCTCCACACCCCACCCTCACCTAGATCGCGGCGGTGGAGTCATTCCTCCGACACATCAACAAGCAGGTGCGCCAGCGGGAAGAGCAGGAGAGCTTGGCGGCTGCAGCCCAGCGCATCGGGCCCTACGAGGTCCTGGAGCCGTCCAGCGAGGAGGTGGAGAAGGTGAGAGAGGCGGAGGGAAGGGGGCGTCCAAAAACGCAAAGCCCCCAGGAAAACGGATGAAGCCGAGGCCTGCGGCGGGAGAGGCAGAGGTGCCGTGGGCTGTGTGTGCCCGTCCTTCCTTCCCGAGGGTGAAGGTACCAGGGGCCAGGTGCAAAGGAGTGAAACGAAGGCACTGGGATGCTTCCTGTCCTCCAAGAGGCAGGATGCCCAGCGCCCCGCTCCTGTGCTCTCTGCACCCCTCAGAACCTGCGTCCATTCTCCACGCTGGACCTGACGGCCCCCATGCTGGGGGTTCCTTCTGAGCACACCAGGCAGCTGCTGCTTGAGGGGCCTGCGCGCATGAAGGAGGGACGAGAAGGGAAGGTGAGGGGGCTGTGGGAGGAGCGAAGAAGATGGGAGAGAACTAAGAGAAAGAAGGGAGAGACGGTGGGACACAGGATGCGTCAGAAGGCTGGGAATGGGAGAAGAGGGGTGTGTGTGTGTCTGTGTGTGAGTTTGTGTGTCTGTGTGTGTGTGTCTGTGTGTGTCTATGTGTCTCTGTGTGTATCTGTCTGTGTCTGTGGGTGTCCACATGTCTATGTGTGTGTCTGTATGTGTCTATGTGTGTATGTATGTGTCTGTGTGTGTCTGTGTGTGTGTCTATGTGTGTATCTATGTGTGTGTCTGTGTGTGTGTGTCTGTATCTATGTGTGTCTGTATGTGTGTGTGTATCTATGTGTGTCTGTGTATCTGTGTGTGTGTCTATGTGTGTATCTATGTGTGTCTGTGTCTGTGTGTGTCTGTGTGTGTCTGTGTGTATCTATGTGTGTCTGTCCGTATGTCTATCTGTATGTGTCTACGTGTGTATGTATGTGTCTGTGTGTGTCTGTGTATATCTATGTGTGTGTCTGTATGTGTCTCTGTGTGTCTATGTGTCTCTGTGTGTATTTATGTGTGTCTGTGGGTGTCTGTATGTCTATGTGTGTGTCTGTGTGTGTCTATGTGTGTATCTATGTGTGTCTGTGTGTGTATCTGTGTGTGTGTCTGTGTGTGTCTCTGTGTGTATCTATGTGTGTCTGTGTGTGTCTATGTGTGTGTCTTTGTGTGTGTCTGTGTCTGTGTGTGTCTGTGTCTGTGTGTGTCTCTGTGTCTGTGTGTGTCTCTGTGCGTGTCTGTGTGTGTGTCTGTGTGTGTCTGTGTGTGTCTTTGTGTGTGTGTCTGTGTCTGTGTGTATCTGTGTGTGTGTCTCTGTGCGTGTCTGTGTGTGTGTCTGTGTCTATGTGTGTCTGTGTGTGTCTTTGTGTGTGTGTCTGTGCGTGTTGGGAAGGGGACGTGGTTCTGGCTTTGCTCTGCTTGCTGGCATGGCCCTGAGTCAGCCACTTTCCTACCTGTAAAGTGAGAGATGGGCCCAAAGCAGCACGGCTCCCAGCTGTCCTATCCCACAGCTCTGCACCCGCCCACACACCCATGCGTGAGCCCCGACCCCTGTCCCGCCTGCTCCCTGCTCCAGCTGACCCTCGTCTCTCTCTTCGCTTGCCCCCAGCTGGATGTGTACCTGTTCCTCTTCTCTGATGTGCTCTTGGTGACCAAGCCCCTTCGCAGGACAGACAAAGCCAAGGTTATCCGCCCGCCCCTCATGCTGGAGAAGCTTGTGTGCCGACCGCTCCGAGATCCGAGTATGTCTTTCCTGGGGGGAGCTTTTCCTTCTCCCTTCCCATCGGCTGGAGAAGGAGAGGTTGGGAAGGGGATCAGATAAAGTCCAGCCCTGGAAGCAGACCTTCTCCTCCACCCAGGCAGCTTCCTGCTTATCCACCTCACCGAATTACAGTGTGTCTCCAGCGCCCTCACTGTGCACTGTCCCAGCGCTGCAGACCGTGCCGTGTGGCTGGAGAGGACCCAGCAGGCCCAGGTATGTGAAGCCAGGTGTGGGAGCAGGGGGATGGCGGGGCCCCGGAGCTCAGATCCGGTGCACAAGAGTGGAGGAAGGGGAGAGAGAGGGTGGGGTGCACACAGCTTCAGACTGGACCTCCTGCCCCTCCGGTGCACCCTCGAGAGGGAGACACAGCCTTGACCAACCTTAAGAGCATGGAAGAGGGACTTCCCTGATGGTCCAGTGGTTAGGACTCCACGCTTTCACTGCCGAGGGTGCAGGTTCAATCCCTGGTCAGGGAACTAAGATCCTGCAAACTGCATGGTGTGGCCAAAAAAAAAAAAGTATGAAGGAAAAGAGCACAGAAGAAAGCCTTTGGCCAGCTAGGGGACCAGTCCCTGGGAGAGCCGAGAGAGCCTCCCCTGAAGGTTCCGAGGCTGTGAAACAATTAACTGCTGAACTTGAGCTTCCGTTCGGCGAACATGAACGGGGCACCTGCTGGTGCGCACAGGCTGGGTGCTGGGGAATCAGAAAAGCATATAATGCCATTTCTTCCCTCACAGAATACACGCTGCAGCCTAGCTAGACAGACAAGTATACAAATAACAGAAACGTGTGGACGGAATGGAGTTAGGACAGGGAAGGGAGTGGCTCACTCGGTCTGGTGGGTTGGTTGGGAGAGGGACAGTGCAGAGAACAGAGATGCCTCCGAGGACAGAGGAGGCTTCGCCGAGGAGCTACTTTCTGAGCACCGCGGGCGGATATCTAGGAGCACGTCAGGGGAACAAGGTGGGCAGGAAAGGCATTCCAGATGGAGAGCAGAGTGTGCGAAGGTCGGAAATCGGAAGCAGTTGTGTGTGTTGAGTGCACCGTCAGCTGAGTGGTTGGCGTTACCGGGGCAGCACAACGGCAGAGAGGCCAGGAGGGAGGTGCTACCAGATCGTGCCCGTCCCTGGATGCCGTGCCGGGGAACTTGAACTTTGTCCTGCAAGTGACACAGAGGCGGTAAAAATGTTAACTAGTGGAGTGGAGTGATGCGGGGGGCAGATTTATGCAAGAAAAGCCCAAGGAGTTCAAAAGGAGGGAGACCCGGATGGGGCCATATTGGTTACTGCTTTGGTGCCGTAAAGCAACAGAAACATTCCCTCACGGTTCTGGAGGCGGGAAGTTGAAAATCAACATGGCAGCCGGGCAATGCTTCCTCTCCATGGCTCTAGGGGAGCATCCTTCCCGGCTTCTTCTGGCTCCTGGGGGCTCCAGGTGTTGCTTAGCCTACGGCAGCATCACTCCACTCTCTGCCTCTATCTTCACGTGGTCTTCCTCTCCATGTGTCTCTGTGTCCCAACCTCCCTTTCCTGTCTCTTAGTAAGACACCAGTCATTAACCCAAAATCCAGGATGACCTCATCTTGAGATCCTGCACTGAGGGTCTATGCACATCTGCAAAGACCCTTTTTCCAAACAAGGCCACTCACATTCACAGATTCTGGGGGTCAGGACCTAGACCCATCTTTCTGGGGCCACTATTCAACCCACTACAGGAGCAGAATTGCCAAAGAAGAGGGAAGATTTGAGTTGGACTTTAAGGATGGGGAAGACCCTGAGCAGAAGACTCAAGGGAGAAATTGGGTTGGATTTATTTGGGGGACAACCAGCATGTCTGTCTGAGTCTGGAGGGAAGGGTTTTGTGTGGAGCCAGTGATGAAACGCCAAGTTCTAGGGGACCCCAGGGCCTGTAGAAGAGGGTGGGCTGGACGAGACTGAATTGAATTGGGTTGGCAAGTTGACACCAGAGCCACCATAGATTCTTTGAGCAAGGGAAGGCCATGGTGAAATCCATGTGTTTTGTCTTGAATTGTCAGGTGGCAATGTGACAGGTGGGCTGGGGGCAGGAGAGATTGGTGGCAGGAGATTTCCCGTACTAGTTTGGGTATGAAACATAGAGGTTGAGTGCCACGGCCTTAGGGACATGGTGCAAAAAAAGAAGAAAAGAACAAGAAAGGAGCTGAAGAAGAAAGAAGAGACAGGTGAGCCTTAGGGAGACCGATAGAAGCCTCTACCGAGCCCATGGTTCAGACCCCAGCTCTGCCTCTTACTAGCCGGGTGACCTTGGGTGAGTTATGTGGCCTCCCTAGTCTTCCGTTTCTTCACCTGCAAAATGGATATAAATAATAACAGTCCTTGTCTCATAGGGAAGATTCAAAGAAACCATTCAGATTAAGTAGGCAACTTGGTGCCTCGGTAACTCAGGTCCACAAGGACAAAGGATGACTTGCTTCCGACGTTCTTGTGTGAAAGGCTGCTTTGGCAATGACAACAGAAATCATTAGAAAGGGAAACCTGTTTGTCTAGTTGTTGCTTCCTGGGTGGCGTGGGGCATGGGTAGCAAGGTTTACTTTTAAACAGAAGCACTTTGGAAATGAGGTAATGGGAGACAGCCAAGTGGAGACCTTTCAGGGGTTTGTGGAAACACAGACTAGAGTTCAGGCGAGAAATGAGGGTGAACTATGAAAATCGCTAAGAGAGCAGATCCTAAAAGTTCTTTTCGCAAGGAAAAATATGTGACGACGGTGACGAATGTTCACTAGACGTCGTGTGGATCACTTCATATGTACACAAATGTGGAATCATTATGTTGTACACGTGAAACTAATCTGTCAATTACACCTCAATTTTTTATAAAAAGAAGAGGCATTTTGAACAAGTTAAATCATAGTGTAGACGATTTCTAAAGAATGCAACTGCACTATTTTTAAAGAGTTTAAATCAAACTCTTTACTCATAGGACTTGCTTTAATGAGCAGATTATAATGATTTGTCGTTTGCACATCAGGTAATTAGGGCTTTGAAACTTTGGAGGATGCGTAAAAACAGTCTTGTCCTTTAAACAATTTTAAGCATTCTTCCCACAGTCTTACCTATGGCATCGTATCAAGATGTGGAGAGCTTATTCGAGAAAAGGAAAACCAGAGCTTAGTCTCTGTTTAAACACTGTATTTAAAGATTCGGAATTATGAGAGTAAAAAATAAATAGGAGGTTTATGCCATTAAAAAAAAAAAAGAAAGAAAAAAGGATGAAAGATCTTGAACCTCAAGATCTTGTGTCCTCCAGCCCATCGGGGCTGTCATTTCCTTGGATACCTAAACACGATGGTGACAGCGCCCAGGAAGCCAGAGGTAGGGGACAGGGTGTGGGTCATCTGCCCTGACCCCTGCTCCAGGCCGGATCAGAGTCCCCTCTCTCTTTGCAGTGGGGCCTCCCCTCTACACCACCGCCCCCCAGCCCAAGAAGAGACCCCCCACCTTCTCCTTAGAACCCCCAGGGGAACCACTAAAGATTGCTGGTATTTTATTACACGAACTAATCTAGCCCCCAGGAGTTTTACTCCACGCTAACTGAGGTAGAGAAGGCATTTCCGATACCTAACCAAGCAGCGCACTAGCTCCCCGCGTCCCCTTGCAAAACCAAGAACCCTGAAACTTTGAAATGAGATTGTCCTGCTGCTGCCTCACACCAAAGTCTTAGGGAAAATCCTTTTCGCAGTTCCCACCAGTCCTTGTAAACTGAAGAGGGCCGTAGCATACCTACTGATCCTAGGGGTCAGGGTGTTTTTTCTCCGCCTTACAGAATCGTACATAGGTAGATTATTCCTAGCGGGTCTGGCTCTGTGGCTTCAGCTTTTAGAGAAAATGAGCTTCTCAAGAGGAGAGACACTGAATCTTGGGAAATGCCCACGTTTAGGGGCTGGGAAGAGGAAAATGAACCAGTGCTGGGAACAAGGAGCTATCAGAGACGAGGCCAAGACGTGAACGGAGGAAAGAGGTGGGCTCGGAGGGCCCGCAGCCCAGCTCTCACTCATTATCTGCGTCAATTCTCTCAGCTCCGGCCCCACCTGGGAACTGCAGGGATAATGGGAACCACCTTGCAGGACAGACGGGAGAGTTATGTTTGTAAGCTGCTTGACACGCGCCCAGCACTTAATGGGGGTTCCATACATGTTTATTGTTGTCAACTTTAGAAGATGCCAACATCTTCTAAAGGCCGGGGGTGCCTGGCCGAGGGCACCTTCAAGAGATGGTTTTCGTCCGTGATGGGAGACTTGGGGAGGGCAGCGGGTGAATTTGGGAGCCGCTCCAGGGGCAGCAGGGAGAGGAGGCATTTCCTCCCAAGGCTTCAGTTCCCCACCGGGGCAAAGGAAGAAGAACCATGGCGTCGGGGGAGCCCTCCCTTTTCCCGGCTTTGTGGGGCTGTCGCATTCAAGCCCAGGCACCAGTTTCCTCTTCCTTTCCCACCCTGCCCCCAACACGTCTCTCCTCTTACCCAAGCTGTGAAAATCCTCCCAGGGTTGCTAGAGAGCCTTTGGGGTGGCCGGGGGCCCTTCAAACATCCCGGTCCCTGGTACCTGAGGTGTCAGGTCCTCCATCCCCACCCCACCCCTTGCCTCCCTGCTTCTTCCCAGGTGGGTCCACGGGAGAGTTTAGTGGAAATGCTTGTATGGGACAGATGTTCCTTCCAGACCACCCCCCAGCTGCCTTCCTCCCAGTTCTTTTCCTCCACACACCATCTCTATCCTGGACATCCCAAAGATAAACTTGAACTTGAGTCATATGGGGCCAAAGGGCATCTCAGCCGGCTGCCCCAGCCCCACCCCGGCCCCAAGAGCGGCTCCTCCCACCCTCGTTACTCTGCACAGCTGGGAGATGTGGAAAAGGTCACAGGACCTGGCCTGGTGTGCTGGTCTCCTGCCCCCAGACACCATCATCCCTGGCTCTGGCCGACAGAGCAAGTCTTGTGAGACTGCTGAGAATCCTTGCAGGAGACAGTGACTGGGAAGCCAGGCAGGAAAATTGGAAATACAAGCCTGAGGTCATTTTCCTGTCCCTGTTCGTCCTTTTCTCCAACACGTCTCTTGTACAGACCCAGCTACCCCCCACCCCGTTGTGTTTCTGGAGGGGCTTTGGGAAGGTCCAGAGTTGCCTAAGAATTGCTGGTTCATACACCTGAAGGGGGTGGGGGGAGGGGCACATTCAAATTACTTAATAACCAGAATGGAATGGGCATCAACCAATCAGAGAATGGGCATCAACCAATCAGAGAGTATTGGCATCAACCAATAGAGCTTGGGGAGGCAGGGGGTGGGGTGGTGGTGGTGGTGGTGGTGGTGGTCCTAGAGGCCCCCTGCTGTGCCAGATGTTATCCCTCTGCTGCTGGATCTTGGAGGGCAGGGTAGTCCTGGTGAAGGAAGGTGGGAGGCTTGGGCAGTAGCCCTTTGCTCACCAGCATGAAAGTACTTCAATATGTGCACAATGATAAGGCCATTCCAGCCAGTGCTGGTACCAGCGCCGCCCCCAGTAGCCTCCACCACCTCTTTTTGCCAGGCCTCCGCCTTTGGCCTCTCCGAGGGTTCCCTTGCCATCCCTCCCCTCCCCCAAGAGAAAGTTGTCCTTTGGTAATTCCTGACCCTTTCTAAGGCTGCCCTTGAAAAATAGTGCAGTTACTGAACTAGGACTCACAGAGAAAGACCCAGCCCCAATTCTGCTTCTCTCTACCTGTGCGCCCTGGACCAAGTCCACTCATCTTTCTAAGTCTTGTTTCCCCATCTGTAAAACTGGCTAATACACTGCAGGCTGATGGTGCGTGTCAAATGACCGCCTGCGTGTAGAGGTGCTTCATAAACCACTTCTCAGATATTACTATCTTATTCCGGTGGCGCCTGTATGAAAATGCTAAGGAAGACAAAATATAATGTATATCCTCTCTCCATTCCTCTTGGGATGGTCTTGTTGTCAACTCTGAAGGACAACAAAGTCCTCAACCCAGGACAAAGCCTGCCCCTGCCCACCCTGGTGGTAGGAGAAAGAGTAACCTGAGGGCCCAGCATCATTCAGAGCAATTATGCCACCATCACCACCAATCAGGGAGGACTTCCTGAAGGAAGAAACAGACCAGACCTTGGCTTGCCAAGGGGATGTGAGAGGCAGGAAGAACGTACAAGTAGGAAAAGGGGCCTTATGTTTACCCCACACATCCTAGGACCAGCTCAAGAGTTCAAATACTGGCTCCGTCCTACTTTCCCGCAGCATGACCGTGGCAGTTACTTAACCTCAGAGTCTCTGTTTCTCAGGAGTAAAGTAGGAGCAAAAAAGTCTGCCTCATAGGGCGGCGGTGGCGAAGAGAAAGCGAGATAATGCATGTAAAGCACTTAGCATGGTGCCTGGCATACAGCAGGTGCTCAATAAATGAGAGCTCTTAATGAAAGTATCCCCACCCCAGGCCACCCTGCAAAAGCTGAAGGCAGAGGAGTACATCCAACAGAAGAGGGAGCTCCTGGCCCTCTATCAGGACCGGAACGGGGAGTCCCCAGGCCCCAGGCCCTCCATGCCTTTGGTGGAAGGCTCTGAGAGCAGCACAGAGGGAAGGTAAGACCTACAGGGCGTACAAGGCCTCCCAGAGGAGGGGGGCTGCAGGCAGGGAGGGAGGGCAGAGGAGCCCACAAGGTTGGGAAATGGTATTACAGCTTTTGGGGGGACGGGGACCAGACTGAGGAACCCAGGCTACAGGTTGACACCAGCCGTGCGAAAGGCCACATGAGACAGCCTATGGGGTTAGCCAGCCTAGGGCTGGCACAGGGTGAAGGAAACAGGCACGAGAGGCACAAATTCCCTGAGAGAATCAGGTTCCCCAGGCCGGGGATGGAGAGTGAAGGCCAGTATGGGTTTGCGGAATGTCAGAGCTGCAGGGACCCGGCTAGTTCAAATCCCCAGAGAGCGTGAGAGTTTCACCCAAAATAACAGCTGTTGAGCAGCACGGTTATAGAGAAAAAAAGACTCCATCACTGGGGGATAACCTAGGGGAGCTCAGGAAGCACTCAGCAGATACTTGATAACAAGTTTCTGGACTGAGTGCAGGGGCTAAAATGCCTTAAAGGAGCTTATAGTCTAGCCAGTGAGTCAGTGCAGTGTAAAAGTGATACCAAAATAAGTTTGGAGGAGGGCCCATTTCTGGATGGAGGGATCAAGGGAGACTCCCTGGACTTGAACTTGATCCCTCAGCATCTGACTCTGACCATTTGCTAGTAACTGTAGGACTCCTGGGTCCTCGATCGTCATCCCCCAGCTGGTGGTGACGGAAGACACAGATGAAGATGCTCCCTTGGTACCAGATGATATCTCGGACTCTGGCTATGGCACTCTGGTCCCAGGCTCCCCCAAGGCGTCCCACTTTCTGCCAAACCGTCTACGCTCCAAGGTCCTTCGGCGGGACCCTCGCCGCACCTTCTCCACCTTGGACCTCCGAGATGTTCCTTTGCATCTCCAGCCTCCTGACCCCCAAGCTCCCCAACGCCGAAGCACCCCTGAACTGCCAGAGGCAAGTGTCCAGAAAGGAGACAGCCTTCCCAGGGGAGACCCACCGACCTGGTCTGAGGAAGAAGGCGGGACCTCGGTTGGAGAGAATGTGGTAGTGGAAACCTTACATAGGGCCCTACTTCGGTGGCAGCTCTCCCCCTCCCTGACCCACACTGACTCTTCTGGGGAAAGCCCCTGGGAATCCTCAGGGGACGAGGAAGAGGGGCCCTTCCTGGGACCCGGCTACAGCCCCTCCCCTCACCCGCTCCGGGCCGAGGACATGCTCCGAGAGATCCGGGAGGAACTGGCCAGCCAAAGGATTGAGAGAGTCCCCGAGCCTGGGGACAGCAGACCTCGGAAGCTGACTCGGGTCCAACTGCAGAGGATGCGGGGGCTTCACGTCATACGCCTGGACACGCCCCTGTCCGCATCGTAAGTGCAGAAGGGAAGCTGGCGTGGGATGGAGCGGAGGGGAAGGCCAGTATGGAGCCAGAGGGGATGCCGGGGCAGGGGGTTGGCGGGACAACACAGGAGGGCAGGACCAGAGGGGGGGTCATGGCGGGGAGGGGCCTTTAGCTTCACTCTTCACCCCATGTCTGCCTACCTGACACCTGCCTCTTGCCTTTGCAGAGAGGTGTGAGGGAATACCTCCGTAAGAGTGCTGGTCACCACCTCCACCCCTGGATTCTACCTCAAGGACACTTCCCCAGGCACCCTGCCCTTCCTGCTCTGAGGACTTTGGGGATCAAGAGCTGTACACCGATGTGTCACAGACACACCAGAGTCCCACATAAAGTTGTGCATAAAGATGGCCGTCCAACCAGCACTAGATGAGGGCGGGGCAAAGAGAACCTGGCGGGCGAGGAGTCACAGACTGAGCACAGGTGACTCCTCTGTTACTGGGCTGCACGAGGGTGAGGTATCCCCCCGCCCCCCTACTCCGCCAGGATCACGGCCCCGGCCCCGCCTCCCACCACGCAGAAAGGCCACTCCCTCCAGGAGCACAGCTTTAATTCCGGGCTTTTAGTGTATTTACAAGTCCACAGCTCCAGCGGGAGGGCCCTTTGTTCTGTGCCTCCCCTGCCTTGGGACACTTCTGCTTACTCTGTGCTTGTCCAGGCAGGGGGACAAAGGTTCTATTAGTGTACATAATGGAAACAAAGATTGCTTATCTACTGTGAAACAGGCTCAGGGACCAACCAGGGGCCCCCAAGCAGCCTTGCTGGGTTCTCCAAGTCCAAAATGGGCAATGAGGCGCCCCTCATCCCCGCAGCCACCGCCTGGGCTCCTGGCACACTCAGCCTCTCTCACGAGTAACACACACTCCACATCACACAGACACACACACTCTGACACACACACTACACACAGCTCACCCGCTGGCAATGCTCAGGCAGCTGAGATATACACTGAGGGAGTAGCACCAGGTTAAGTGGCTGCCAGATCATGCCTGCTCCGCCAAGACCTTTCCCCTCCAGAAAAACGGGGATCCAGAAGGCATCTCGCAGGTCCTTCCAGGCTGCCTGGGGCAGGAAGCAGCCGTCTCAGGGCTGCCCGCAGGGGCCGGGGCGCGGCCTCATCGGGGAAGGCGGGGCTCGGGCGCGAGGGGGGCGGGGCCGCCCAGCGCTTCCTCGATGTCCTCCAGGCAGCCGAGCAGGTCCATGTCGCGGAGCACGCGGCCCAGCAGCTCCAGCGTGGCCTCGCGCCGCGGGGTGCGTCGCCGCCAGGCCGCCAGCATGCTGTACTGCGCCTCGCGCAGGCAGCGCAAGTTCTGCAGCTCCAGCCGCTCGATTTCGTGATCACTCAGCCCCAGCCGCCGCACGAACTCCTTCCAGCGCAACGGGGGCACGCCGTCCACCACAGCGTACAGTGTCGCGGGGTCAGCTGCCGGGAGGCGGCGCGGTGAGCCCGGAGCGGCGGCCCTCCCCACCCGGCCCACACCCACTCGCCCCGGGCGCCCCGCCCACCCGCCTCCCCGGCCGGGGTTCCCTGCGAGGATGAATGAGGAACTCACCATCTGCGAGCGGAGCGGGGGCGCTGGGGGCGCTGGGGGCGCCGTGGGCGCTGGCCTCCCACTTCTGCACAGGGGTGGGGACGGGGGTGGAGGCTGGAGGCGCAGGGAGGATGGGGCCAGCCCCTTGGTGGGGCGGGGCCATCTCTCTGGGAAGAGATGTGACTCTGAAGTTGGACCACGGGGGGTCACAGGGGGTGAAGGTGGGACTGGAGGCAGGACTGAAGCTCGGGATGGGACTGAAGCTTGGGGCCGGGGCCAGGGGCTCTGGCTCCCCCTGAGAGAGAGAGAAGGCACAGCATTAGCGGGGAAGAGGAAATACAGCCCCAGCCCTCCTTCTTCTGGATTCCGGACGGGAGTTGGGGCTAGAGGGAATCAGGGGAGCCCCAGGACGATTTGGGTGTTACAAGATGACAACGGACAGTCAGGGAAGACTGCGGGTAGTTCCCCGGTTTCACCTTACCTCCTTTACAGGAGCCGACTGCCCACAAACTGAGAAAAAAGAGACAAAGCGTCACAGGTTTCACTTCCTCTCTCAACCCTGGCGCCCATCATGGGGCTGGCGATGGGTACTTGTGGTGACATGCTTCAGGGCCTATGTGGCCCCAGGGACGAGAGAGCTACTGATGCAGTATGAGCTCTCACCAGCCGTCCAAGACCACCTCGTGCCAGTGGGGTCCTCGCCAGCGAACTAAGGGGACACTCCTCATCTCCCTCCATGCCTGTGCACCCCTCCCTCCCGCCTCCTCTGAAGCCTCCTCCTGCATTCCTACCAGCACCCTTTCCCTTCCCAAAGGCCCCACTCACCAATGGAGTAGAGCTTGGGCTTCCACCGCTGGTATCGGCATGCTAAAACAATGAGGAGGAAGGATGCCAGGCAAAGACCAAATATGATCACCAGGGGCAACAGTACTGTGGTGCCTGGAAACAGAGCAGATTGTGGTCAGAGGAGAGGGGCTCTGGAGGTAGCAGGGCAGGACGGATGGGGAGGGGCATGACTAGGAAAGGGTCCATGGGCATGGGCACCAGGATAATTCTCCTCACCTGGGTCCTGAGAGTTGTTACTAGTTACAGGTAGAGCTGGACATAACTTCTCGCACTCCGTGTTCTTACAGCTAAAAGAAGAGAGAGTGCTGGTGAGTAGGGGCCCACCGTAAGAGGAATACAGGAAAAAAAGAAAAAGAAAAAAAACCACACAGATTGTTGGAAATTCTTGGCTTTACAAATATTTTAGCTATCTCTTGATATAATGGAAATTAATCCTATCTTGGGAATTGATGCGGAGGAAAGAAACATTAGTTAATCCCCAAATCATTTCATTTTAGAGCTGGATTTGATCTTGAAGAAGCTATGTAGAGGGCTTCCCTGGTGGCGCAGTGGTTGAGAGTCCGCCTGCCGATGCAGGGGACACGGGTTCGTGCCCCGGTCCGGGAGGATCCCACATGCCGCGGAGCGGCTGGGCCCGTGAGCCATGGCCGCTGAGCCTGCGCGTCCGGAGCCTGTGCTCCGCAACGGGAGAAGCCACAACAGTGAGAGGCCCGCGTACCGCAAAAAAAAAAAAAAAAGAAAGAAAAAAAAGACGCTATGTAGAAAAAGAGTTAAAAGCAGTCAGAGTCAGGTATAAATTCCAGCCCCATTCATTGGCTAGCAGTGTGACTCCAGGCAAATCACTTCACCTGTAAGCCTCAGTTTCCTCATCAGTAAAACAGGGATCCTACCCACTGTCAAGATTGAGGATTAAGTGAGATAATTATGCCTGACATATAGTAAGCCCTCAATAAGTGCTGACTGTCATTGAATTGTTATTTTATCACTGTTTTACTGATGAGAATCCAGTGAAAAAAAGGTTAAAGAGCTTTTTCTCTAGATGACACTGCTGATGACAGCACCTAACTTTGTGAGAGGGGTCTAGCATGCATGTGAACAATTAAAAAACACATCTTGCTGGGGGCAGCCAGAGAACACTCTAGAACAAGCGCATCTTCCCGTTTTGGAGCTGGCACTGGGCAGCATGGACTAATGAGAACTACATCAGGGGTCCTAGAAGGAACTTGAGGAGGTGAGTTCTCAGCAGGAATCTGAAAGCAGGGAGAGGTCATTTTGCCCACCTCACAAGCTCCTGGTGAGAACCACATGGAAGGGGTGTAGAAGTGCTTTTAAGGGGAAGAAATTCGTGGGAAAAAGAACATAGTTTCTTGTCAGACACTTTGTGGCTATTTTTTGTGGTCCTTACAACTTTGCCAACCTGATGTCATTATCCTTACTTTAAAGGTAAAAACAACTAAGGCTCAGAGATGTTAAGTCACTTGCCCAAGCTCACACAGCCTGAGATGTTAAACCCAGGGCAATTCAACTTTAGAACCCTCAGTTTCCTCTTTGCAAGCAAGTGTGCAAGAACAGCCCCTGCAGAGCCAGAAGGAGTGAGGAGGTGCGGTCAAAGGGACTGGGGAGGAAAGTGCATACTGCATTAAACCTAAGATCAATAATCAGAGACATTACGATTTACATCACACACACACACACACACACACACACACAAACACACACACAGGTGCCAACTGAACCATGATACACCGTCAACTGTTGTAAGATGCAGTATGATTTCAGAGATGTAAAAGTGTATTCCTAGAATCCATAGTAGGGTCTGTTGCTCAAGAATCTGAACGTCTTCCAAAAAACATCTGAATGTCTAAAAAGAACTTCAAGTCCTTGCGGTATGTGCCTCTATCCACAGAGACTTCATGAGATTTTAGGAACAAGTTGGGGGCAGGGAGGACTGTCTGGTATCTTGACATGAAGTGTCTCCCATCCAAACAGCCTGGAGGAGCCAGAGCACCTCCCACAGTCTCCCCCTCCCATGCCGATCCGGTGCCCAGCAGCCAGCAGAAGTACTCACTGAGCACAGGAGACGCACTCAGCATCTCTTAGAAAGAACCCCACGTGGCAGTGGCAGACGGTGTCCTGTCTCTCCTTGCCTGTAGGGAGAGATGCGGCACAGCTGAAGGAGGATGGCCCAGCACGCTGAGGGCCGGAGGGAGAACCGGGGGGGCAGGGGTACAGCAAGCTGGAGACCGCCCTCCGGAGACGGGGTGACCAGCTGGGTCGGGAGGGCCATGCTCACAGGAGTGGTGCACCGTGCCGTTGGGGCAGAGGCTGCAGTTCAGACACTGGAACAGAGTTTCACTCCAATACTTCCGATACTGGTTCTTCCTGCAGCCACACACGGTATCCTTGTCCACTGCGCAAGGAGCAATCTCCACCTGGAACATTTCTGGTGCGGGGAGTAGATGGGATATGAGCTCCCACTGTCCCCACCGGGTGTGTCTCTCTGGGTAACGCACGCTCACACCCATGCATTCGTTCACTTGCGCACATGCATCCCTGCCCACCCGCAGCAGCACAGCTTCGTACCTTCCCCTGGAGACAAGACGCCCACACCCACCTGACCCAGTCGGTTTAGAGCCCCGCCCCCCTGCTGGGACTTACCTTTCCGGCACTTGGAGCAGCTCAGACATTGTCTGAGGTGGTTCTCCGAAGCGGTAAAGGTGCCGCGGGCACACACCCTGCAGTCCGTGTCCAGCCCCAGGCCCGGACAATCATTGTACAGGTAGGTACCTGTGATTGGGGGGTCGGGGTTAGGCTGCAGCCAGGAGCCCCAGCCCCAGGACGGCCCGGGCACCTCCCCGAAGTCCCTGGGAGAGGAAAGGAGGGAGAAACTCCCAGCCCTGGAGAGGCAGCCAAGTCAGGGACCCCACGTTCCGGAACATCTGGAAAGAGCAAAGGGAGAAGCAGGGCCCCTG